TCAACAGCACACTTTCAATTCCCATCAGTATGTTTCAGTATCTTTAATGGGATTATTGATGCAGTAATTTCTGCAAACTAGTTTCCTACACTTAGCCATTTTATAGCAGTTATACATGAATCCAATGATGTTGATTGTTACAATCAACAAATACACTGCTTGTACAGGCTAATAATTCTTTCAGTTATAAATAACAATTAGTTATTCGCTACTAGAACCCTAAATAGATTAGCGCTTAGAAACTCCTTTTTTTCCTTCACAAAATCAAACACAGCTTTTTAGAAAGAGATGTCACAGGTAACTATAGCCAGTGGCTTAGGAAGTCCTCTGATTTGATTTTATGCAGTATCAGGAAAAAAAGGGTGCTTTGAGCTTACTCACAAAATACGAACTTACCTTCCCACAAGCTCTGCAATGATGCCTTCTTTTGGTGAATGTAAATCTGGCCTCGCATTTCATACAGTTTGGTGCTTGAGAATCTGGGACCCAAACTGGAGCCACCTCACCCAAAGTCGTAAAAGGCTTTCTGGCTGGAGCTCCAAACTGACCAGCTCTGAGATCATTATCTGGACTATCTGGGGCTACTGCAAGGCACGGACTACTAGAGACTCCAGATTCATACTCTTCCAAATGTTCCCCATTAGTATCAGTAACAGAGGCATTTAAAGATGTTTCACCAGGAAATGTGTCTGCTGTATCCCCTAATTGTGTTTTACCAAAGACATTTTTGTTTTTACTATTACCTCCACAATTTGGGGGGACAAGATCATTTTGTAAGTGGTCCGATAATGGCTTTGGAATCTGCAGTTTAAGATTTGTAGGTTGTTTAGGTCTTGCACCACCAAAAGGAACACTGATAGATTGTAGATTAGTCACTGGTTTTGGTGAAGTTTGCCCTTGCATGGATGAAACCTGACTACAAAGATTATGTAAATAATTTTTCTTTATGTGGTCACCAGTGTTGTTTAAAATAAGACCACTCCCTTCTGTGGTCTCATTTCCTCTCTGTTCATAAACATTAGTGTAACATTCTGACTTGCTCTCCTCTATCTCCTTTTCCTCTGTTACCGAGTCTTCCTTGGAGGGTAAAGTCTTTGGAACATGAGCAACAACCGGGTTCTGCATTCCATAGGAATCACAACCATTAGACAGAGAGCTTGCTGCTGATGTAGCCATCACATCAGAAAGACTGGACCCTTCAAGCTCATCTATACCAGTTCCTTTTAAGTCTATGCCTGCCTCCATCATCCCATCTCCACCTTCTTTACTATTACTACATGCCTCATCAGGCTGTTTCATCTGCAAAAGTCTTTCATTCTCTCCCAGAGTTTGCTTATTATTCATCTCATTCAACTTAGTCAGTTCCCAATTAGTCATCTCCTGAGATCCAGGGTAGCCCTCTGCCACGCTGAGCAATTCCGTTGTGCCAAGATTTTTATCACGTTCAATGACTTCGCTTTCAGTGGCACTAACATCCTCAGGGGCAAAATGTTCTGCAACACAATCCTTGTAATTGCCACTTCCAGCCATGTTAGGTTGACAAGTTTCAGTGAGCCCAGACAGCCTAGACCGTAACTGTTGGGTTGTTTCCTGTCCTACGATTAAGCTTCCATTACTTGAACCAGAAGAAGAGTTTTTAGCTTCCAGATCCGTTCTCTGAGGAATGGCTTTACTAGTAAAATTTTCAACTGGTACACAATTTTCTTGCATTTTAATGGTACCATCAACTGGTCTCTGTGAGAGAGTCACTGCATTAATCCCTGCAGTTGTAGCTTCTGAAAACAGTGAATCTTTACTCACATTAAAATCATCCTTTAATCGAGAGGAGGGGCATGCAACGGTCGGGCTTTCAGATGAAGCATTAATCAAATGACTTACAGAGTCATCTTCAGTGCACAGCCGATTTACTTGCTTTTCTGTATCTATATCTTTTTCTGTGGATCCGTTTACAGTAACACTAAACTGATCACTCTGTCGGTTTTCGTTATCCAGTGTAAAGCTAATAGTGTCCATTAGGGACTGACTGCTGTAATTTTTACAATCCAGCAAATCGCCACTTTGTAGTGTTCTTCTGTCACAGTTATGCATGACTGCCACCACTAGTACATTTTTCTCCTCTGGCAAGCAACCTATATTTCCACATTTCTTTTCTCCTGGTTCCACAGCATTACACTGATCATCCCGATTACTGTTTCTTTTAATCAATTGATCGTCTGCTGCTGCCTGATCATCAATCCACATGACTGGGGTCTCCGGACTTATGCTGAAATCCTTTCCATTAGCACAGTGATCCCCTCCTCCTGTTGATGTAGTCACTGAATGAGACAAGGAGAAAGACTTTAATCTCTGTTGACATTCATTAGGAGTTGTAGCTTCATTCACATTGGCCACAGTCGGGTTAAATGACAGACGACGAGAAGGTGGATCTAGAATCTGATTCCACTTTGCACCCAATAGTGTAGGTGAAACAGCGGCATCTGAAAAGTGTTCAAATAAGAGAACTTACTGTTCTGTTAAAGCTACAGGTTCTATTAACTCTGTTGCATTAGAATACCCCAAATATAAATGTACAGATGTTCAAATATGGGCACAACAGTAAAACACATCTGCCATAACTAACATACTTGATCAACCATTAGTAGTGTAATTGCATACTGTTTCTGGAACTCAAGAAGTTTAGAGCTACACCAATTAGTATCAGGTTGAATTTGCACAAGCAACTTTAAACTATTGATTAATATACTTTAGACAGCTAGAAATGCCTAGAAAGAGTCCCACTCCCATAAAATGTTCAACTTCCTTGACAGCACAGAACTAGCAATTAGACTACAAAAAATTTAATACTTCTAATATGATAACTTTCATTATATGATTTATGTGACCTAATAAAACATTTCTATGCTTGAGTCTCCCAAAACTGCAAAAGAAGCGTAGAATAAGTTTTGCCTGATTTGTTTAAAATAAATGATTAAAATATTGCCACTGAGATTAAGCTTCACAAAACCTTTCTTTAAAAAATGTATGGAAGATTTTCTATTAAAAGAGTGACAAATTTTTGAAAAGTAAACAGGATGAAAGGAAACAGAAGAGAATAGTACTAACAAATACTTAAGACACACCATGCAAAATTAACAGATGTTTTTGCAAGTTCTGAGATTAATTTGCAACTCAAAACCAAAAAAGGTATCACAGATCTCTCCCTCTTCAATGGTGTTCTCTGTAGAATACATCTAATGTGCATCTACGATCTTGTTCAAAATGACTCACCTTCGTTTTGCTCAAATTCATCTAAAACCTTATCGAGGTTATATGCCTCTGCTTGGAAGTAGTTCTCCATTTGTCAGGGAAAGATGACCAGATTCTTGTCTGAACCTGCCAGAGAACAAATTACAATCAGATATTTAACCTTCAGTCAGCAGTGTTCCACTACATATTGCCCTGATTTAAGGGGAAAATAAGTCCTTTGTAAATCAAATTTTACATACATTACATGCATAAATCAAAAGTATTTTGCAGGAATAAAAATTATTTGTGTGCTTAAATTTGCTTAATTCAGAGTAACAACCTCCCCAAACTTGCTTTGGATTTTACTACCTCCAGTCTCCCACACCAGTGTGTCTAACCATTAAGATCACCATAATGGTAAGAGCAAAACTGCTTCAACACCAGTCAGAAAATAACAGTCTAGAGAACCAGAAGGCCAACTAACAATCTGAAGATCCAGCTTTCAGTTCCGTGTTACCACCAATTAGCTCATGTGGCTCTGAACAAGTAGTTTAAACTCTCCATGCTTCTGATTTTTTAATGTATACTAGGCTAGCAGTATTCTGTGTCACTCCTCATTTCCCAGAGATGCTTCAAAGATTCATACTTGTAAAAGTTGTTAAAGGACTTAATGGGTGTTACTTGAATTGTGCTACCTCTTAAAATGCCTGCTTTAATAATCCTTGTTTCCCTGAAAGGCAGGCACTGGAAATCTAGCAAAATGCACAGAAGTAAATAGTCTCATCAAAAGATAATACTCTCAGGCTAGAAAGGAAGATGACAAGGGAGAAATGAAAAAAAACCCCAACCCTAAGTCATTAAATAACTTTCTACAACTTCACATAATAAATAACATTTTTGCCCTAACAGTAGGAATATGGTCTTCTTGCTACCAAAGGCTTGTAGCAACAACACACCCTGATTCATTTTTAAAAAACATTCACTTCCAGTGAAGACATTTTCACTGACAAATGTGTGCCATAACCTATATACCATAAAGAGAGACCTTGATTTGATCTGTTCTCTGAACATCATCCAAAACAGCCTTATTCTCTTCAGAGTTGGCTTTCAATGTTGTGAAATAAGGAGATGGAGGAGGAGAGGGTGAGAACCTTGTTTTGCAGTAAGAAATAGTGTTAGACCTGACAGCTAGACTCCAGCTCAATTAAAAACCTGCTGTTTTGCACTAGAGATACAACAGACACAAGAAACACATCAGAGGAAGTTTCCAATTTAAAACTATACTTTACTTCAACATTACCCCCATAGTATCTGGATTTGAGGAAAACATCAACCAGTTTTATTTGAATTACTACAACATTAAATACAGTTTTGTGTTTATTGTGGGCAACAGCTACGATTAGCTGTTATTGGTACAAAAATATCATGCATAAAGTATCACAAAATGTAGAGTTCAAGTTTTTAAGGTTGACCTCAAATTTGACACAGTTTTTAAAAGATGATCACATTACAACATAAATACATTGCTATTTAATATAATCAGATCAAATCATGTTTTAAAATAGATACAAAAGCCAATTTTAAAGAAAATTAGTGTAATGGCAACTTAGAAATTGCAATAAGCATCACCCAAAAAAAGATCACTTTGCAAAGAAATTCAGAGATAAACTAGACTTGTCACCTTACAAACTCCCAGATTTGTCCTCTGTTCTGGGATTTTAGATTAATTCCTTCTGCAAGGAAAAGAGATGATTGGCCATATCATTTACTGTACACAGATGCACAGATTATAACATAAGCAATGGAAAAGCTGGCCATCTTGATTAAAGGTTGCATTTCAGAAGTCTAAAAAAGCTCAACATTTTACACTCTCTACCAAAAGCCAGGTTCTGACCTCTAACTGCAACAGAGTGTACTCTTTGATCCCTTAGATACCTACTGTAAGCTCGGAGTTATCCAATCTGCCCACCAAGTCATTGTATTAAAAATCTTTCATACCATTTTAACTGAAACATTACATTTACTGCACACATTTCAATTAAATGAAAATAATTTTAAAAAGCAGATGCTTCTCCTTAGATATACAAATATTAAATTCATTCAAACTACATCCAAACTGCAAGAGTTTGGAGGTTCTCTTGCACCTTTCTTTCCACCTCATTTCAACTCCTTAATAGGAAGCATCTTTACCAGCTCAGTAAATATCAGATATTGAAAAGTTAATTAGTATCTGTCCCAATGAGTATTTCACTTGAATTTTTTTTTCTATTCAAAGTTCTAAATATCAGCGAAAATTAACTCACTATAGTAAGACTGTTTTGTACAAAATACCATATAATTTCACATCAATTTATAATGTATTTAATTTACATTATAATGATAACATTCCAGTCTAGCAAACAAATTATGAAGATGCGAATAATTATTCCTAGGCAAAGTCCTACTACTAAGGTCAATGATGCAAAGAGTATTTGTCAGTGAAGCACTGCAAGACTGAAAAGCGTCATACAAAATGTTTGTGTTCAAGTGTTAAACTGTGATGCTGTCTGTAGCCACCACACTCAGATTTCCACGCACTTTCATAGTGAAAAAGGGCATCCAGTCAAGGCATTCACTAGGACATAAACACAAACTCTGCAATATGGGTGGCCCCAAAGACATAGGCTACAAGCATTCATTTTTTTTGTTTTACTTATTTTAGAGAAGATAATGATTACTGACAAGCAAGTTGATGGAGAAGGAATGCTATGCTGATTATATAGTTGCTGAAAACATGTTTTTAAGTAACTCTTTGGGTGACTGCATTTTGATTCTGTGTAACTTTCAAATGTTTAGAAAAATTCAGACCTGACCATTCATACAACTTCAAAACCCAACTGAAAGCCTCAAAAAATTACTTCAGAACTGGCTCACATTTATGCTCACTGGAGTAAGTAGAATATAAGCCACATTTGCCCCTAACATTTCCTAAATTTAGTCCTATATTAGCTGGTTTTTCATTGTCATAAAAGTCAGGAACAAGATATGCCTAACCAAAAAAAGCAGTGTTAGAAGTTCATAATAAATATCATCATTTTTATTTACTTTAGTCAGGGTTTGGTTTTTAAATTTTATATTAAGTGTGATTTTATAACATTAGAAAAACACAAATATTCAGACTTAGGAGACCACATGTTTAACCATAACAAGGGCATATAAAGAAGACTTAGAATTTTGTTCCCACTCCCTTACAATCCCAATGTGGTTAATACTTCATAGCATCTCTGTAAAATTATTATTTTATTAACATCTGTATTATCTAATATTAAATATTTAATATTTGTGAGTTTAAATTTGATCCAATAAGACAGAGGGTTTTTTTCTATATTTTTTAAAGTTCTAAGTAGAGAGAATTATGTGTAAACAAATATGTGTAAACATATGAATTCTGAAGCTCAAATACTGGTGCACAAACATGCAATGAGCCAAAATCCAGACTGATGGATGCTCATTGTCCAAACTGAAGAGAGAAAAGACCTTTTATATCATTATTGTTATTTCACTTACTGATATACCAGGATATATGGAGAATCTTTTATTTTTAAACTCACAATCACTAAGCTGACAGCCACTCTAAATGAGATCTCATTGTCTATGCAAGTAGGTATTTCTCAGAAAAGGTCAGCGGCAGATCTTCAGGTCTAACATCTAAAATTATTATTATGTAAAAGAACACAACCACCCCCCCCAGCTTTTCCAGAAGTTTCTGTCCAAGGGCAAAACACACTGCCGAACCCACAAAGTCCTTACTGCCCTCCTTCCTGACAGAAAAGGAGGATGAGTACTCATGTTCCTAACAGATACCCACAATGCTTCTTGACCAATACATTGTCAGCAACTCATATTTTTGCCAGTTTAGGATCTAATACTTCAACTCTGCATAGCCAGCAACTCAAGATCAAAACAGAAAACACAAAATGCTCTAACACAGCATGCTATAATAATTGGGTAGCTGTTTTCCCTGTGGTTTAGAATTTAATTTTATTTTGCATATTTTTATGAAATATCCAACATAAATAAAAAGAAACATATTCCTTTACAGGCCTTTGGCAACTCTGATTGTAACTAACAGGTACCATAATACAAGTTTGGAACAGTTTTAAAATTATTCTAGTCCCAAACTTCCTCCTAGTATAAAGGTTGATTATACAATTTTTAAATTGACATTTTTAAAGGATCCTTGATAGTTCTGAAACTCTTTAGTATTGCTCGACTATTCCAAGCCATGGCATGGAGAGAAGCTGACGAACAAACACACAACTTAAACTCTGGAGAAGTGAGAATAAAAACATGACCAAATCAGGAAGAAATTTCAATGGCAATTTTAGCTGTATGCTGCCAAAAAGGAGATGCTTCCTAAACTAGTATATATATTGGGATGAACAATATGAAGAAGAGGATATTGTGCCAGTGCAAGGAAAAGGAGACATAGATCACCAATCCAGTGAAAAGTGTAAGATGGATTTTCAAAAATACAGTAGTCCATGCAAAGATTTGGCAGAAAAGACTAATTATAGGCCCAACAAAAATGAAATAGCAAAATTATTATTTTTTTTTAATTCTGTATTAAAAAAAAAAAAAAACAAGGGCTACCATCCACTGGTACAGTAAGTCCAGAACCCAAGATCACTTCGTTACCCATTGCAGAGTCATCTCCTGTCTTTCATGGCAAAAAGCTAATGAAAACATGCAGCCCATCAATCAGATTATTTTCAAGCTCCTGTTGGATCACAGATCATGTGTAATTCAGAAACTCTGTGTTTTACTTATCAATTTCTTCATACAACAGCATGGACTTATCATCATCTTCATCTCTAAAACTTAAGAACTTACGTTTTATCAAGCTTACATGCTCTGCTCTCCCCTAATGTCTAAATAAAAAGGTGCATGTACCAGAATGTCTGTGTCATATGTATCCAGAATTACTATCCTAGTCATCGTAGCATTTAGACATAAGACAAACTTTAATTGATTAGTGGGGAGGGAAGGAGACAGAAGTAAAGGACAGAAAAACCTTCCTTAAAATTAGATGGTATTCTGAACAGGCTTAACCTTGGAGACTGCCTCTCAAGACAGCTCAGATATCCCACATGCCAGCTTCTTGGGAAATGAACTGTACAAAGAGATAGGCCTTGTGTTACACCTGCAGAGCAGCAAGACTCATATTTGTTTTGGTCTCTGCGATAAGGAATTACGTAACCCATGGATCTTCTGCACTGCACATCCTAAATTACCCTCAAATTTTTTTCACCACTGGAACTGACAGCCTTAAGTCTTTCAAATTTTCTTGACTCTTAACAGTGGACGACCAGCACACAATCACATCAAAACACTGTAATAAAAAATGCATCAAAAGGAAATAATACCAACATACAACTATTAGCCTCATATCAAAGGCCTAAAAATCAGAAAGTATGTAAAGAACCAGAATAAGATCTCAGGACTTTCTGTCATGCTGTCCTGTGTAGACTACTCTTTCAAAATGAAACTGTGTACATACGCATTTCAGTAAACTCTTACTAAGTTGTTTATTACAGTCCTCACCAAAAGTATATATGAAGGACTTCAAAGATGAAAGTCACAAGGGGCATGATGAAACTGAAACCAAATATTGCTCATTCATCCTGACAAAAATCAGACATCCAAAAAATGTCATTTTCCCATAGCATGACAACATGGAATTACGTATCAACTGGACAAATTAATTTATTAGATCTAGTGCTCCTGAGAACTTCCTTCAACCCCAAGAAACAATGGTCAAGTCCACATATTGTTCCAGCTCCCTTTAGTGATATTTGTATTATTTGCCCCTGGGAGGAAGAAGTCAAGCACCTTTGCTGTAATGAACAGCTTGTTCAAAGAGTTCAGCAATAGCTGTATTTTTAACTGATGAGATCTGCCTACAGCACAGACTGAGAAAGACTCTGCCCACTTCCCCTCTCCCCCAAACAAAATAAGACACATCTTTGATCTAAAACAAGGCAATTACTCTCAATAAAAAACAAAAACAAAATGCTAAAAATACTCCATCATCTACTATATAAGATATATATCCATATATAGAGGTGTATGTATATAAATATATATCCATAAGCATACATAAAAATACACGCATTTCAAGTACATACCCCTGAATCATTATATTTTAGAGCATAACTTGCTTCTTACCTTTTTCTCTTATACATACATTAAGAAACGAACGACCCTGTGCCTACTCATGATGACTGCAGCACAACCAGTCAGTTCTGCTGAATCAGTGTGTTCTACTTGATCCTAGAAAGAAAATATAAACATGTATTTTATGATTGGTAATTCTGCCACAAACCATGTTTTTTCAACGCATGACTGCAGCTAGCAGAGGCACATGTGGCAAATGCTGCAAGCTTTCAAATGATTTGGACTACATTTGCAGCTCTAAATTCAGAGATCTATGCACTATGCCACTATTCCACTCCAATATTATGGTGAAAAAAGCTGCTAATAAAAACACATTGCTACCTACCTACTATTATTCTTCATTTAACTGTAAACCCACAGAGTGAGGCAGCAACTCCAACTGTCCTTGTATTCCTGACGACCTTGACTGTAACGCTTAATTTATAAAACTAGCCCCTGAAGTTAATTATATTACACTTCAATAGGCCTTCCAAAAATAAAGAGCTAGTAGCTTTGATACTCAACAAAAATTCACGGCCCTCTGAATTCTGTAAACTGTATTCATCAGCTTCCCACTGACTTTGTTACAGCTAAACAACTGGTTTTGTCTTCAAATTATTTCCCCTACAATCTTAGGCTCCCTTCATTTCCTAAAGGCTTCTTCTCTCATAAACCACAATGGCAACCTTCAATAGCAGGGAGGATCCAAGGAAGAAAAAGAGTCTTCAGAAGAAACTGTCTTGTTTTCCTAACTACAGCATTTCTATAGGTCAGGTGTTCATTTTCACAGGCTGCATCCTAACAGTCAACATAGCTCAAAAATCCAACACAGCCATGAGCAAAGAAAAGAGACTGGTTTATGACAAACAGTGCAACAAGAACAAGGAGTGAGATAAGTTAAATGTATGTTTTAAGGTTTGCTGGAGCTGGTATTTGACCTGTTAGGTAGTTGAAATATTCATTAGTGCTCTGACGAAGCAGCAGCATATGTTAGAAAAAAAATCTTAAAACGCCAGCAAAATGAACAGAGCTAAAAAAAACATCAGTTCTCCGTGCATGAAAGCAATATTCAGTGTTAAACTACAATTTTCCCAGGGTTGTTTATTATTCTTTTCAGAAATAAGCTACAGTAATAATTCCAGGAAACTAATGAACTGAATGGTAGCACTCTTAGTAGTACTGTTTCCAAACTCAGAATAAAATCCCACAGCTTTGTATGCCAACAGAACTGTTCCTGTATGCAAGTAAAATTTCTGATGCCATGTATATTTCTACCTCTATAAGTTAAGATGAATTTTGGATATTTGGGAAATAGTAGAAATTATTATATCACAAAGTTCTTCAGATAGGCTTCATATGCATGCAAAAATGGAGGTGAGGGAAATTTAATTCTGCTGACGGGCTTCAGAATGGTAAGCTTTTTCAAAGGGATGTGAAGTACATGTGGCAGCGGGGCAAGGTTATCTGGACCACCGCCATGTCCGCTTCCGGCCTGTAGGTGGAGGAAAATGATTCAGTTTTCATGACCCCTTTGAAAAGATGGATCAATTAATGACAATTCTGTTTGTGATTTATGACAAGGCCTGTCAACTGCATCATGAACATCAAACACGTTTCACATGAACCAGTCGGTCATACATTAACCACAAAGTTCAATCTTTACCGATCAGAAATGGATCAGACCCAGCAACCTACAGCTGAAACGTGCTGTGCTGTTACCAGTGCTCTAAGCCAACAAGCCTTCTAGGCAAGCAATATTCAGGGCAACAGCACAGCTTTATTATTCATTGTTTTTATTCTGATCTACTTTCCTTGTTCCATTCTTCCCAGGTAATAACTTGTTTGTCCGTAACCATTCAATGCAGAAGAACACAGATCCAATCAATCGCTACCAGTCTCCAAAGAAAGCTTTGAAGAGATATTACCTGGAGATCCTAAAGCTTTTTGTTTACAGTTCAACATTTACTCTCGGCAGCCATCTCCCCTTACAAAGATCAATGCAAAAATCAAAGCATGCTTACAGATATGAATGAAATATATTTAAACAAAAAGCAATTAAAAAAAAAATAAATTATAAGGTTTGGATTTCCTGAAAAAATGAACAAGTTGACAACAGAGCCAAATTCTTTTTCCAATAAGAAGTTAATGTAAGAGAACTATATTAAAATAAAAATCAAGGACAAAAAGAGTAACTACAAAGGAGAGTCAAGAATATTCACAACAATGTATAACCTAGTGATTATTAGGTTTTTCACAAACCATACACACTGCTAAAAAAGGGTCCATCACAGTTGAAAAAAATACATACATTTCCACCTAAAAAATATGTGCCTACTGAGACCTAAGATCATTATGAATGAAGAAGGCCCAGTGCCTCTGCTGTTCCAGTTTGCTTACTTTGAGCATTTCACAGTTTCTTATCTCCTCTGCTGATGGTTGGCTGAACTCTGCTGTCTCCTGCCCTACAGTGGTATCACTCAGGTGCCGCTTTTGTTATACCCTACATGTATGATTTCCCTCAGGAGCTCCAAGAGGGCGACTGCCAATTACTGCAAAAGCAAAACAGAAATTGAAGAGAAATTTGACAAGCAGAGACGTGCCCAGAATAAAGAGAGGATGAAGAACAGAAGAAAAGTGCTCTAAAAATATAAAATTAGAAATATCTTCCACAAAAAAGAACGTAAAAAATGTTTACAACATCAAATGGAAGTAATCTGAACTAGCACAAATTGGAATAGCTTGTAATAAATGGAAAGACACTGAAAAAGAAGCAATTTTGATACTATGTTAAAAAAACGCGGAAAAAGCTCAAAGCATGAAGAGATACTAAAAAATGCTTCCATCTACTGGCAAGGATCCAACTCTTAACTACACTACAGATCCTCTATAATGCGCTACCAGTGAGAAGATGTCTTTGAGTAGGCAGGAATACATTTGCAGCCATTTTAAGGCACTTTATTATTGCTAGATTAGTTGAACTAGGCATTATCTTAAATGCAAACCCAGATTTCAGCGCTGGTATCTTAACTTCCTAGCTTGTCTACCCTCTGGAACTACCAGATAGCAGGTTCACGGAGACTACAGACAGGGGACATATTCAGGTCCCAACTCTGCAAGAATAAAAACTACAAGAAGAAATACTATAGCAGGGGGTTATGTTAATAGGTAAACAGTGTACTTAAACAAGAGGGGAAACAGGTAGCAAGTTTCAGGACACACATCAGTTATACAATATCTGATCAGTTAATCTGGAAGCTAAATCCTCACAAGTGGAAAAGGTGGGGTTTCTTCACTCAAGTGATGAAATGCTTGGAATAACTATAATTTACCATGTGCCCAACAATTTGTCACTTCATAATGGTCCCTTCTTGGCCTCTCAAATGAAGCAGCAACTTCCGGTCAAGTTTCACATGAACATGTGTTTGTATTATTTTTTAAGAATTAATGTAAGTAGAAAGACTAAATACTACGCAGGAAT